GAAATTTAGGGAATGAAGTACCGCAAGTAACCCTACGCCCCTAATCCCAAAACCCTCATATCCTCCAACATTCAGACTTGTCAAATTAGGGACCTTCTATTCCCCAGAAGGGGGGGGGGGGGGGGGGCTTGGTAGTCAAATGACCATATACAACAAGCCCTACGACAAGGATACCCTTTTTGGGGGTTGGGCACTTTTCAAAAGAACCTGGAACCACAAAACAAAGGGCAAACAGGGCACCACTGGGCTACCGGGGGGGGGGGTGTTAGGAGGGAGAAGTTGTAAATACACTGGAAGCCACGGAAGAGGTGCACCTGTCATGATCTGGTCCACGTGCCCTTGCCTCACATGCAAGCACAGGCACCCCGAAACCCTCAACCCGAAACCCTAAACCCTAAACCCTAAACCCGAAACCCTAAACATAAACCTTAAGGGGTTAGGTCGAAGTTCAGGGCTCGCCCCTAGAACCCTCAAGGCAGGGTTAACATCGGAAACGCCTAACTTGTGATCGCTATACGCTGAAGCCCAATAGCCTTAACACCCTGAACCCTGAACCCTAAACCCTAAACCCCAAACCCCAAACCCCAAACCTCAAACCCCAATGCTGAAATCCTCATCGAGCTCGAGGGGCCTTTCTAGCGCAATGTGCAAACTTGATGGGTGTGCACTCGACGGCAAATCACAAAACACCCGTTACCGAACCAAAAGAGCACAACAAACTGGATTTAGGGTTTCGGGGTTTGTTTAGGGATTAGGGTTTAGGGTTTAGGGTCTAGGGTTTAGGGTTCAGGGTTCAGGGCTTAGGGTTTAGGCGCTAGACAAAAGGGTGCTGGGAGTGAAGGTTGAGGGTTTGGGCTTCTCGAAGCTCTGTGTAGAAAGGAAGGCACTACGGCCATACTCACTGAACGTCCGGCATGCAAGGGGGATCCTCCCAGCAGCCCGACACCCTAAACCCTAAACCCCAAACCCTAAACCCTAAACCTTAAACCCCAAACCCTAAACCCCAAACCCTAAACCCGAAACCCTAAACCTTAAACTCCAACTCTTACGCGCCTCTACGGGTCCTAGCCATTTCTAGCCCGAGCCGCTGCATCACCTCGTAGCCTGTGCGGTCCTCACAGCAGATTGTCAGGTTGTGACTCTACGGTTTAGGGTTTAGGGTTTAGGGTTTAGGGTTTAGGGTTTGGGGTGTAGAGTTTAGGGTTTGGAGTTTAGGGTCTGGAGTTTAGGGTTTGGGGTTTAGGGCGGAGTCTTCGGCCGTGCTTTGTACGCTGTGCTTTGTACGCTGTGCTTTGTACGCGGGAAGCGCCAATGACGACTAAAGTGAACGAAGCAACGTTGTCTGCCATGCCTTCTTGTGCTATGTGGATAATCCCATTTGGTCCATTTGTACTACTATTATGGAAGTAGGTACCCTAAAGCCCTATGTAGAAAGGTTTTTGGGTACCTAATGCCATAATGGTACTACAAATGGACCCTTCTGGGAATGCTGTTCCAACTTTTGAGAGCTTACTGTACACCCTCCCAGTCGATGCGTTTTGTCGCGGCACGCTGTAGAGAGGGAGCCATTGTGCGAAAGAAAAGCAGGTTTGCTTGGGCCGGGTTCAGTGACATCCCGTGGAGCTCAGGCGAGCTTCCTTAGAGACAAGATGTCCGGGTGTTATGTGTTAGGGTTTTTTAATGCTAAAAAACCCATTTAGGGTTTAGGGTTTTTTAACGTTAAAAAAACCTAGATGCTGCCAACTTCCCCCCCCCCCCCCCCCCACCCAACCTCAACCCCACTCCACCTTTTGCTGAGCTGAGGGTTAAGCATTTCAGGCCTTAGGGGCCGCTGAAATACCGCTGAAATACCTGCTCAAGCCCTGTAAGCCCTTTGCCTGGGCTCTCTTTTTTGGAAGTTATAAGCTACCCCCAAGAAGTAAGGGCACGATGTTAATTGCTATACAACCCTGTTGCAAACCCCTAGATCGAAACCCAACTTGAAACAACGACCATGAACAGAGGTTGGACATCAGGCGCCCTAGACCCCCCCCCCCCCCCCGAAAAAAAAACCTAAAACCCGAAACCCCAAACCCCAACTCCAAACCCCAAACCCTAAACCCCAATTCCCAAACCCTAAACCCTAAACCCTAAAGGTGAAGTTCTCGACGCGCCTGTAGCATGACCTGGGCGCGTAACGGCGCTTCTTTCATCTAAGGGTAGTTTCATGGTCCCTAAGGGTTTAGGGTTTAGGGTTTAGGGTTTAGGGTTTAGGGTTTAGGGTTTAGGGTTTAGGGTTTAGGGTTTAGGGTAGTGGGTAGTTACATGGTCCCTTTGTATGGGCCCTTAAACGGGCACCCCTTCTACAATTACCCCCTATATACCCTAGACAAATCAAGGGCACACACATCAGGACCCCTTTAGAGGTTCGGGGGCACATTAAGGGCCCATGTAACCACCCTCAGATTTCATTCGCGGCAGTTTTTACAAGGCAACCGAACCCCCCTGAAAGGGCGAATCAGGGCCCAAGCCGTGTCCTTGACCCCACTCTCAAGGAAGCCCGTGGCTTAAATCCATAAACCCTCGACCGGAAACCCTAAACCCTCAACCCGAAACCCTCAACCCCACACCAGAGACCCTAAACCCTCAAACCTCAACCCTTCGTTCACAAGCACCTAAACCAAAGCACCAGAAGGCCCTGACCGAATCGGGAACTCTGCACACCTACTTCTGAGGGCGGCGCAACCCTAAACCCTAAACCCTAAACCCTAAACCCTAAACCCTAAACCCTAAACCCTAAACCCTAAACCCTAAACCCTAAACCCTAAACCCGAAGCTCCAATCAAGCTCTGCCCCTGTGACCTTAAGCCCCGAAAAGCTTAAGGTTGAGGATTTAGGGGTTTGGGGTTGAGGCTTATGGGCCCAGGGTTGGCTTGTTCCCTTTGATACTAAAAGTCCTTTACTTATAGGGACTATAATAGGGGTACTAGTATCCCAAGGGGAACATCCCAAGTTTACGGTTTACGGGGGCTTTCGGCTTTTAAGGCGAGGATCCACTCCTCTTCCACGAGCCCTGAAACACCAAACATACAACAACGGGCCTGAAAGGACCCTTCTCTGCAGTAGCACCGCAGAACCCCCCCCCCCCCCCTCCCTCATAGGGACCCTCAACCCTAAAACCCTGAACTCCTATAAGGATGCCCCTGATGCAAATCCTGGGAGGTATCGAAACATCTCCCAAAAACCAAAAGCAGCTCCCGTGCATAACCCCCCTTTCAACGAGAATTATCGGTTTAGGGTTCAATTAGGGTTTAGGGTTTGGTTTCTTAAACATGTGAATGATTCCTAAGGAGGCTCTAGCAACTTCCATGTCGGGAGATGTTACTTGAAATCCCTTTGGCCCTTCGCAGGCAGGCGGCTACGGACACGGGGATGTTCACGCGTGGGAGGAAGTTGAACCTAGCGAAAAGCTCAGGGCTACCCTGAAACCGAAGCCCCATGTAAACCCTGAGCTCTAAACTCTCGACAGCAAGCCTCTTGCCTCTCTTCCAGCCCTAAACCCTAGACCCTGAACCCTAGGGTTTAGGGTTTAGGGTTTAGGGTTAAGGGTTTAGGGTTTAGGGTTTAGGGTTTAGGGTTTGGGGTTTAGGGTTTAGGGTTTAGGGCCCCTAAGGCAAGTGCAGCGCTACACATGGGGTTCAGGGAAGCAGCCCGGGTGCCCTAGACACAAAAAAGTCTCGGCGAAGCCCTGGCGTCCGAACTCTGGAACCACAAAGCTATACACAACCTGAACTCTGGGCCCTGCAGTTCGTTCTTCGGGCTTTTTGCTGTGTTGAGGTTTCTGCTTACGATTTTAGGTCCATGTTTGATATGTTCAGGGGGTTTGGGTGTGGATGACAGCAAGAGGAAGAAACAAACCGTTTAGGGTTTAGGTTTTAGGGTTTAGGGTTTAGGGTGTAGGGTGTAGGGTGTAGGGTTTAGGGTTTAGGGTTGATCCTGCAACAGTGCTCGAGCTCACCGTCTACCCCGAAATCCACCAACATGCTCACGAGGGCAGACATGGGTACTTCCCCAAAGGGTCCCTTGTAGGGGTCCTTTGTATAAGGTGCCGTTACTACAAAGGGGAACTAAACAGGGAACTTAAGTTAGAGGACTACCCACATGACGATTTGGTCTTGGACTTCTTTAAGATCTGCAAGGTCAGCTGCCGAATCGTCGAGCCACACCGGGCGTACCTGATCCTTGACAGCTCTGCTGTCGCCACCATAGTCAGCCTTGCCCCAGGTCACGACACATCCATCTGTCAAGATGGCGGCAAAAGCTTCAGAAGAAGCTTGAATCTGCCGCACGTTCTTGAGTTGATCTTGTACAGCACTGCTGTCACCACCAGAACCAGAATCGCCCCAGGTCAGCACAGATCCATCACCAAGGATGGCGGCAAAAGCGGCATGAGTGGCTTGGATGTGCTGCACGTTCTTCAGCCTCTCTTGCACAGCACTGCTGTCGCCACCAAAGCCAGCATGACCCCAGCACACCACTGATCCATCGGCCACAAGGGCAGCGAATCCATACCAGGAGGATTGAATCTGAAGCACATTCTGCAGCTTGCCTTGAACCGCGTGGCTATCGCCACCCGAGGGACCATGGCCCCAGGTGACGACAGATCCATCTCCTTAAGGTAGTCCAGTAGCCATATTGTAATGAGGGCACCCTTTTTTGGCTGGCTTGTTTTATAAGGGAACCCATAAACCCTAAACCCTAAACCCTAAACCCGAAACCCTAAGCCCTAAACCCTAAACCCTAAACCCCCCCCCCCCCCCCCCAAAAAAAAAAAAAAGGGCTACCACTGTGCTACCAAGTCTCCCAGGATTGCTGCAAAAGCCACGTCTGAAGCCTGGATCCGCTTTACGTTCTTCAGCTGCTCTTGCACGTCACTGCCTTGGGGACGACGTGAATTCCCTAAAAGGGCTTAGGGTTTAGGGTTTCGGGTTTAGGGTTTAGGGTTTAGGGTTTAGGGTTCTCTACCTTAGTAGGAAGAAAAGTAGTACAGGGTAGAGGACCCCGATTTCAGGGTTCATTTGGTCTGCCAGGGTGCTGTCGCCACCGGACAAAGCATGGCCCCAGGTCACCACAGATCCGTCTGCCAGGATGGCAGCGAAAGCTGCATCGGAGGATTGAATGTGCAGCACGTTCTTTAGCTGGCCCGTCACGGCACTGCTGTCACCACCGAAGAGGGCATCGCCCCAGGTGACCACAGACCCATCTTGCAGGATTGCGGCAAAAGCGTGGTCAGTAGATTGGATCCTCGAAACATTCTGGAGTTTGTTCTTAACCTCATTGCTGCTGCCACCAAAGCCAGTGTCACCCCACGCTACCACAGTTCCATCGGCCAGGATTGCAGCGAACGCTGCCTTCGTTGCTTGGATCTGCCGCACATCTTGAAGCTGAGCTTGCGCGGCACTGCTATCGCCACCTGCCTGCGTATGGCCCCAGGTGACGACAGATCCATCCCCAAGGATCGCAGCGAAGGCCGCCTTAGAAGCCTGGATCCGCAGCACGTTCTTCAGCTGGTCATGTACAGCACTGCTGTCACCGCCGCAGTCAGCATTGCCCCAGGTCACAACAGATCCATCACTAAGGATTGCCGCAAAGGCCGAGCGGGTGGCTTGGATGTGCTGCACGTTCTTCAGCCGATCTTGCACGGCACCGCTCTGGCCACCAAAGCCAGAGAGGCCCCAGGCAACTGAGGATCCATCGCCAAGTATGCAAGCAAAAGCGGCTCCATCAGCAAAGCCGGTCGCCGAAACGACTTGCGTCTGCCTTTGATGAAGGGTCAGGACATCACCGCTCTGCAGTCGTGACTTGACACTTGCAGCTCCATCCAAGATATCTCCTGAGGAAGTCAGAAGAATTCCTCGGCCGACTGCCAAAGCCTTCTGCGCACGCTGGTGCAGGTCGTCAACCTAAGGTCTCATGAGTAGCCTCTCTCGTTTAAGGGGGCCATGATAAACCTGAACGCGGAAACCGCTAACCGCAAACACAAAAACGACGGTCGGCCCACTGGGGTTTAGGGTTTAGGGTTTAGGGTGGGTGTCCGAGCAACAGATGCGTCGGCTTCCACGTTCAGTGAGACCGTCTTGCCACTGAGGAGATGGACGTGGACCGAGATCGATGCGGGCTTGGCCATGCTGGCCGCTCCAAGCCCTAAATCCTAAACCCTAAACCCTAAGCCCTAAGCCCTAAACCCCAAACCCTAAACCCCACTGGTACGCGAAACCCTACACCCTGACTCAGCGAGAGGCGTGACGCTCCGATCTTCGGGATTTTCGGTGTGCAGATTTGGGCACTCTTTGAATGCCCAGATCAACAGGTGTAGGGTTCCAGCGCGCGCGGGGCTGAAAAGCCCATGAGGAAGTGCTTACCCTAAAAACTTACTCCTTCTGCAAGCCCTGCGGAAAACCTACAAGGAACCTCTTAGGTGAGGACCTGAGACCCCAAACCCTCACGTAAGGACCCTTTTTTGGACATGCTTGGGGGGCTTGCATACTGACCCAATAATCTGAATTATCATGCAGTCCTGAGCCTATAAGCCCGTGAGCTCTGCTTCAATCTGAGGCTATTCTGTGAGAAAACTTGGGGTTTGGGGTGCTTGGGTTTGGGCCCGGGGTGACTTAGTCCTCGTGTTGGGGTTCAGGGTTCAGACTTAGCTTGGTGTAGCCTCGGGTTTGCGGTTTAGGCTTAGGTTTTAGGGTTTAGGGTTTAGGGTTTAGGGTTTGGGGTTTAAAGTCCGTCCCTGCAGCCTGAAGAGGACGAGTTGGAAGATCATCCGCTGCACCCGCCCGTTGCCGTCTGCCATGGGGTGTAGCCTCGCAGCCATGTGGGTTTAGGGTTTAGGGTTTAGGGTTTAGGGTTTAGGGTATATATATGTACAAATGTACAGTTTCATGTATATATATATATACACATATGAATATTCTATCTTGGCTTCCAGGGCCAAAGGTTTACACCTGCAGACCCCCACTGCGACGCAACATCACGAGAACAGGTGTTCCGACCCTAAACCCTAAACCCGTAAACCCTTAAACCCTTAAACCTTAAAACCTTAAAATCTTAAAACCTTAGAAACTTAAACCCTTAAACCCTTAAACCCTTACACCACTACACCCTGAAGCCCTTGGACCCTTGAACCCTTAAACCCTAAACCAACCCCTACCCTGAAGTTAAAGCGCGTTCGGGGTTTCGGGTTTCGGGCCTAGGGTTTCGGGTTTAGGGATAAAAGGGTTTGGGGTTTGGGGTTTAGGGTTTAGGGTTTGGGGTTTCGGGTTTAGTTTCGTGGTCTAAGGGCCGCCTCTGAGGGGTGTTGGACTGTTGGGCTTGGGAGTGTATCGTCGGCCAGATTTCGGGGTTCTGTGTAGGGTGTAGGGCTTAAGGGTGTAGGGGGTTCAACTGTTTTGGGCTTTGGGTTGGGCCCTAAACCCTAAACCTTAAACCCTAAACCCCTAAACCCTGAACCCTAAACCGTAAACCATAAACCCGAAACGCTAAACCCTAAACCCTAAACCCTAAATCCTAAACCCTAAGCTCCAGGGCAGGCGACGTGTTGAGCGCGATCTTGGCGATGGTGGCGCAGACGATGGGATCCATCTGCGGGTCTTCCAACATCCTGACAGTACTCCAGTGGGTGTTTAGGGTTTCGGCTTTAGGGTGTCGGGTAGGTTTGGGGGGGCCCTATATAAATTTTCATTTTGTATGGCTTGATAAGGGTTATATAGGGGATTGAAGGTAATTAAAATACAAAAATATTTTCAGACCTACCCCTGAGTTGTGTTTCGGCCTATGATGCCTTTGGGGCTTGTAGGGTTCAGGTGTTCAGGGTTTAGGGTCTAGTGTTTTGTAGGGTATTGGGATTTAGGGTTTGTAGACACAAGCTCTTATGAAGGTGTGTGGGGTTTGACTTCAAAGGCGGTATATCAGGCCGACAGGTTTTCTGAGCTTCCAACGTGCTTTCCGGGCTTGTGGGGTGTAGGTAGGGTGGACAGGGTTGATGCAAGGTTCAGGCATAATTACCTTGCTGGGACTACTAGTTCATGGTTGGGATGGTACTTCAAATTTGAACTTCTGTTCCTAAATTGAAGTACCCTTAAACATGTGAAATGTTACGTGACGAAGTCTAGGGTCTCGAGGGCTTCTAGGTTTTGAGATCTTTGGTTCTCGCAGGTCGGTCTCCGAAGTTGGGGCCTCCGTTTCAGGGCTCCAAGTTCGCCGACACTTCTCGAAGTTCCGCCCCTTGCTGGGTATAGTACACCATACACCCTCGGCCCAACATTTAGGGTTTAGGGTTTAGGGTTTAGGGGAAGGGCTTAGAGTTTAGGGTTAGGGTTTAGCGTTCATATTCTCTAAGGGGCCCGCGACTTGGAGAACCGATGTGGACATCCTTCCCTTGCTGGCTGCAGAACCCCATGGCACCGGCCCCAAGCCCCATAACACCCTTGACGCCCTCAACCCTGAAGCCCTTGGGTTTAGGGTTTAGGGTTTAGGGTTTAGGGTTTAGGGTTTAGGGTTTAGGGTTATTGCATTCCAGGCGGGGGCACGCCAGGTGGCTATCCCTCTCGAAACAAGCTTTAGGCATGGGTTCCTTGTAAACCCTCCAAATCCCCATGCACCCCTATTGGCCCAAAACCATCTCTAAACCCTAAATCCTAAACCCTAAACCCTAAACCCTAAACTTCAGCTTGCTGTGGCTATGGGTTTGCTCTGAGTGCGAGTTGCTTGGGTATCGAAGCCTGCACCCTGAATCCTGAACGTTGTAGGCTTAAACTTAACCATGGCTCCCAGCACCCTAAAAACCCCAACCCTGTGCTCCTAAAATCATGCAACTCGAAACCCTACAACCCTCAAACCCGGAAACTCAAACATGATAAAGTCCCGATAAAGTGTCACAACCCAGGACCACCATGATGCCTATATGGTTCCCTCGGAAAGTCTGGTCGACTGCAAGCCCGCTTGGGTTTAGGGATCACTCTCAATGGCATGTCCGGTGCCTGTGGACGCACTCGAAGTAGCCTTATGTCAAGAGCTACACCAGAGTAGCATTGGTCCGGGTTGCAGGTTTCAGGGGGCTTGGTTTCAGGTTCGCTGTGATGTCTGAGGACGAAAAATCCAGCTCCGCCCCGATGGATAACTGAGCTACGATTTTGGTGGGGGCTATATTGAGGCCACAGGTCGGTTCTAGAATTCAGATGCACGCTCGGGCCCTTTACACCTCCAAAAGACCTCTACTTCCAGAACAGGACTCAACAGCCCGCACGGTTTACGGTCGAACCTTCCGAACTTCCTGCTGGTTAAACCCTAAACCCTAAACCCTAAACCCTAAACCCTAAACCCTAACCCTAAACCCTAACCCTAAACCCTAAACCCCAAACCCTAAACCCTAAACCCTAAACCCTAAACCCTAAACCCTTTTTGTGGGGAGCTGTCTGTTGCCCGCGGGACGGTGAACTTGAGATTCTAGGAACAAGAAGAAGCAACACCAACAGGGACTTGAGAAGCCCTGACCCCTAAACCCTATATTAACCCCTAAGTTAACCCCGCTGTTCCGATCTTCATATAGCGACTCAAACCTAAGTTAAGCCCGAAACCCCAAAACCCACAAAGTCTGAATCAGGATGTCGCTGCTACGGTGTTGGGCTCTGGCTTGACAGCAGCTACAACCCTGCATCCTCCCAATCCCAAAGGATTCAGAAGGGTTCATGTACCCGCGCAGGGGATGGTTGTAGGGTTTACTGTAGAGTTTAGGATTTCGGGTACCCAGGTTGTAGATACTTCAGACCGAAAATTCGGGACTCTGTACTTTGCACTCGGGATGCTCCCCCTTATACGAACAGCCCTTAATAGGGAGCATAGTAGCCCTAAACCCCAAACCCCAAACCCCAAACCCCAAACCCCAAACCCCAAACCCTAAACCCTAAACCCTAAACCCTTACTATCATCCGATGCAGAACTGCTAGTCAAAGGGGGGAAACATCCCAACTTTGCATGTTCAGCTCAGGAGCCTTTGTAGAGCGATGGCAGCATGTTCGGCGGGGGCGGCAGGTAGTGCAGGACGATCTCTTTGCCTTTACCGGGTGGCTGCTAACTGTTCAGGAACTCAAGTTAGGGCTTCGGGTTTAGGGTTTAGGCTTTAGGGTTTGCGCTATTCATTCTATAACCATATTCTGGTAACTTATTTACCTCAGCAGCAAACCCAATTCAAGGAAGCTGCTCTTTCCTCTGCTTCGAGTAGGCCAACAGTCATTGGTTGATAAAGCTGGAAAACAAAGGAGAAACAGGAGACAACTCAAGCAGGGCGTGCTTCAAGGCATGTGGTTCAAAGTATAGGAACCCTAAATCGAAACACTAGAAGCCCTACTTAAGTGTCCCCCCCCCCCTGCCCCCCACGCGAACACCCACAACCCTAAGCCTTGAACACAAAGGTGTTTAGGCGACTTTCCCTGTTCAGGGTACACCACCTAGACCCGGGAGTATCCTAGGAATAAAATGGGTGCCCTTTTTGGTTTTAAGGGGGATTATAAGGGAACCCCAACCCAAACAAAAGGAAAACAACGGGCCTACTCGCGGTCCTAGCCACAGCATCTCACAGTCAACCTGATGCCGTGAGCGACTTTCAGGGAGAAAGTTGGTCCCGGCATCCGGTGGACACTGGGATGCTGTGGTGCAGGGGTTTAGGGTTTAGGGTTTGGGGTTTAGGATTTAGTATTTATAGGGTATAGGGTTTAGGGTTTAGGGTTAGTAGGGGTGTTTGGGGAACAGTAGACCGCAACAGGCTCCAAGCACCCAAAAAACCTCCAAGACGTGTCCTACCTTAAGCATTTTCTGTAGGGCTCTCACTATTTTAAACAGATACTTGGTAGACCGGGAACCATATTATAGTCGGGGTACCCTTTTGGGGTTGGCTACTTTGTGAGGGAACCTAGGAAGGGTAAAGGGTATGACTGGGCTACCAGGGATAACCGGCAACAATGAGACTTTCTCGTTTTGGTAACCCTGCCAAGTCTCAAGCTAGAAGTGGCAAAACCGGTGGAGGGTTTAAGGTTCAATTTTGAGTCTAAGGCTCAAGGCTCGAAACCCGAAGTCTGGGATTTAGGGTTCCTCTGCATGTTTTGTTTAGGGTTTAGGGTTTAGGGTTTA